CATACGTAGCGTGTGGCGGCGTCGATGAACGTGATGGTGTAATTATATGCTCCTTGTCCAGGTTCGCGGTTGTATATGATATCGCTGTACACTTTCTCCAATGGTGCGTATGCTGGTGCACTCGGATTGTGGTGAGAGACGAACGGCTGATGCGGCAAGTCAGCTTCGGGGCAGGTAAAGCATGTTCCGCGAACTCGTCGAAGTTCACTTTCGTCGGTTAGTAGTAGTGAATCTTTATCGAGCACGCCTGCTCTTGTTGTGTTGTTTAACACTGTGTTGCTTGGATGTCCCATCCTTTCATGCCAGGTTGATTCTGTTGCATGATGTCCAGGTGAGCGTCTGTACGCGTCGAATTTGGAATAAATACCAGTGGCGAAGTTGGCGCTTCGATGAACTTCCCGTGGAGTTGGAGTTAGTTGTTGCGCAGATGTCGGTGGCGTGTCGTTGATGGAGTGTGGTGCCGTTGAAGGGCCTGCAGTCGGTGTTGTCTCTGCTGCTGCCAATGTTGTCTCTGCTGCTGCCGATGTTGTTCCTGCTGCTGCCGATGTTGTTCCTGCTGCTGCCGTGTGTTGAATCGTTGCTAATGCCCTTGTTCGTTCTGCTTCAGGTATGGTGTGCGAGTACCAGAAGCCTCCAGGACTGAAGTCGGGGTCGAGATCTGGCGGGTGTGTCCAAGAGGTGAAGTTGACTATGGCGTTACTGTCGCGGTGCCTAGGTCTGAAACGAAGTCGAGGACGAAGACGTTGTTCTTCAATACTGCTTTCCCGATGTAAAGTCCGCCTCTCCCGTGGTACAACTTCAACTCCTGGGCGGTGCTGTCTGCTTCGAGGTGGATGCCTTTCGCCATCAGCTTACTGACACTCAGTAAGTTGTAGTCGAGTCCCTCTGCGATTAAAACCTTTGATATCTGCAGTATGACGTTTGTTTCCCGTGACTGAAGTTGAACTACGCCTTGTCGTCGTGTGCGCAGGTTCCGGTTGTTGGCGATGGTGGTGACGATTTCGCGTTGAAGCTGGTGTTCTCGTTGAACGAAGCGACCCGAGGACCACATGTGCCGTCCGCAACAACTGTCCAAGAACCAAGTATCCTTCCCGGACGGCTCGCTTTGGGCGATGGCTACGTACGTCGAGTTCGGTTGCAGTGACTCACGACGTGGAGTGCTTTCATCGAGTTGTTCTTCCGGTGAGTAGTGCGGCGGTGACTCGGTGATGCAGGAATCTGTCAGTCTTGCCATGCAGCTGACGATGTTTCTTGCTCCTTGTGCAGATTATGTTGGCGATGTTGTTGAAGACTGCGTCTGACTTGTGGGGTGCGCTTGTGTGGATGCCATTTGGCTGCTTGAAGGTCGAAGTTGATGTTGCGGTGGTGTTGAATGCTGTTGGTTTGGGCAGTGTGTACGGGGATGTCCAGACGGTTTGCAGAGATGACAGAACGGTGGTACGTGTTGTTGCTGTTGTTTTTTATTTTGTCGGTTGGAGTTGTTGAAGCGCCATTGGGTGTGGAATGTGAGTTCTGGTACTGACGTCTTTCTCTTGTGTCGCTCCTCGTGCAGGTCAATGTCTTAATGTTCAGCGTGAATCTCGGCGCAGAGCGCTGCTTCGGAGATTTTCCCGTGGGCTCGAAGAATGGCTCGGGTGGAGCGCCAGTGAGGACCGAGGCCGTCAATGATGACTGTCACGAAGGCTTCTTCTGATATCGATCCTCCGCATCGACGAAGTTTGTCGCGCAATTCGCGACAACGGCTGATATACGCCATTCCCTTTTCGCCGGGTTTCATTTCCACTGTTGTCAGTTGTGCCATTAATCGACTCTGATTGACGATGTCTGTTGCTTGATACAGGTTCTTCAGGTGGCTGTACGCGAGCTCAGCGGAGTTGCCGTATCCCCGATACGACCGGATGTTCTGCTGCTGGTTTGGAGTTATGTTCCTCAGCAGGATCGTGTACGCCATCATCGACTGATATGTGTTATGCTGCTGGTTGTCGTATTGCGTCCCGTGTGTTGGATATGGCAGGGACCCGTCGAAGTATCCGAGAATCTGCGCGCCTTCCATCATCAACTCGAATTCAAATGACTAGGTAAAGAAGTCTTTGCCGTCAAATGGTCCTGACGTCTGCAGATTTTGAGACGTACACGAACTGCGACTAAACTTGAAGTGCATCCAATGTCTTCTCTTGTCCATGTGAAGGCTGCTGATGCGGTATGAAGCTAATGGAACCGCGCTGATGCTCGTACGGAGCAAAGGTAGGTTGCTGCTGTTGATTTCCTCGCGCATAGGATAAACTGTCGAGGCTCATCGGTGTGACGTCGTTGTTGTTGTTGTTACTGTTGTTTGACTACGTAGGTACCGTTTGCTGGTGTTGTTCGTAGAAGGACATGAAGGAGAAGAACTTCTCCATCATGCTTGGGTCGAAGCCTGCAGTTTGGTTAGCGGGAGTTTCGGTGGACCCCGCTGCCGGTCTTGTTGTTGTGCCCTCCTCTGTGTGTAGGCTAAAGGCAGGAGGTGGAGTAGGTGTAGTGCCGTGAGAGCCAAAAGAGGAACTTCTCTCCTTCTGAGTAGCCATGCCTTCTGATGTTGTAGGTGTTTTGGAAGTAGTTGAGTTTGCCCTGACAGCTCTCATACCATGTTGGGCTGAGAAAGCCCTTAGGATCTTTTACAAGGCTAAACTCTAGGTAGAACTTGTTGTATTTGCGGAAGCGTTTAATGAGGAATATTGAACCACCTTGCGCTGGTATGTGAGGGCAAAGTAGATAGATACAAGGTTTTATAAGAGTACAAGAAATATATAGATAATAACCGTTTTACAGTTACTGTTGCGGTTCGATACAGTGACGACTCGGGCAACTGCTCAATGACGAGTTAGTTGTTTGTCCTTGCTGTCGCGCTGTATTTGTCGAGTCAAAGGTCAGCGACCTTTGACCTTCGCGTAACCTCCAGCTGTAATTGTTACTTTTCTATCAACCTCCGCGGTTGACTCACCGATGCTTCGTTACAGTTCGATTCGCTTCATGACTCAGAGTTTCGACACATCAGAAGCGCTTAAGTCACTTGTTTCCAACAGCTCTAAACTAAAATGACGAATTTTGACACACCCGGTTCTGACACATTTGTCCAATGTTTAATGTTCAGACTATCTACGCACAAATGGCTAAAAAACGAACATCTTAAATAGAGTTGCTGAAAAGATTCGTGCTCTTCTAGGACATTGCTTATATATTATTGTATCTGTATACCACATACGCAAAGTATAAACCCTTTCTGATGACATAAGATACAAAGAGCATCAACCCTAAACGCCTTGCGACAAGGCATATAGGGTTTTTTCCCCTCTATGGAAACGCCATGCTGTCCGATATGGGTATAATCCCCACTTGTAAAATTAGAGCACATTGAAAGCATTTAAGCATTTTTATATTGGAAACATTTGTCGCAAAAAATGATATATAACGACGCGTTATATATTTCATAAGTCAAGTTTCTCGTCATTACCATTCGCGTGATCACTCGCCCGTGTCGAGTTACCAAACGCGCGAAAACACCGGTATAAGTTACCATACGCTTTATCGGGTCTTATTAGTGTTACCATCCGGACATTCTCCCTAAATGGTACGCGTTTCCTTCACTGGTGGACGAGCTATGTGAAACATCCTTGCTCGCAAAACACCCTCCTGCCATCGCGTTCCGAACAACCTGCTTCCTTACCGCATTCTGCGGTCGCTAAGTCAATCAATCTTGGACTACTTTCTCGTAACAGTCTGACAATGACCGCACCTCCGGCAGACCCTAGTAATCCACAGTCGAGCTCTCGTCGGCGATGTGGTAACACGAGACTCGCAAGAAACGGCCGCGCCATCCAATCCTCGCCACCTATTTTTAATCCACGCCACCACTTTCTGCATTTTCGTCCCTCCGCGTGTAACCGTCAGTACCGCCTCGCATGTTACACGACCTAGTTCCTACTCGCAGCTCTAACGCGCACGCAACTAGTTCCTCTGCTTGCCGCATTCGTCGCTTCGATTTGCGCGTTCCAAGCTCGCTGCCCCGCTCCATCGCTCTCTCTTTGCGATCCCGCGTTTCACGCTCCCGAGTCGATGGCCTCACCACACCACTCGCTCCCAACGCATAAATCACCTCCGTCTCTGTCCTCCGCCATCTCACAACACTCTCCGCTGCTTCTTCACCTCAAACCCGTCACGCCTGCAGCTTGCGAGCTTCTCTTCTCGATCCTCGTCATTAGTTCAGCATCGTCCGTTCTCCTCTCTCATTCTCGATCGCTCATTCCCGTCGCTCGTCCCCGTCGCCCCGCCTCCCCGCACTCACCGCCATGAAGCACCGCGCCCGTTCCGCCCTCCGCCGGCTCGCCGAACTATCTCTCGCCGCCGGCCTCGTCGCGCTGGCCGTGCTCGTCGCGCCGACCACCGCCGGCGATGCGTATCTCCCGCCGTACTTTGACGCGCCGAGCGGCACGGGCATTTACTTGTTCCGCCCGGGAGAGGCGGAAGTCGAGTCGTCGGACAAAGCGGTCCAATACAACGACCCGTCTTCCTTCGGGACAGGCCAGGCCCTGTGCGCCCCCGTGCCGCAGGGCGGGAATCGCTTCGCCAAGGGCGGCGTGGTGAGGGTGCGATGGGACACGTCGATCGGGTTTCTCGACCTCACGTGCAAGCGACTCACCTTCCACCGCACTCCAAGCTGCGGGGGGCGCCCATACTTGGCGCTCGTTCGCCCTGATAAGCCCGGCGGGCAGATGAGCGACCGCGAGATGAGCGCCATGCTCACACGCAGGTGCGCCCGCTTGTTCCCCTCTGAACCCCATACTTGCTTCGTCCGGGTATGCTAAACTTGTTCTGCCGAAACAACAGTGCACTCTCACATTACTCGATGGGACTCCAGTCTGCTTGCTGTGGCTCGTTCGCTCTGCTCGGCTCGAGACTGACAAACATCTTTCTCGCTGCTCTTCTGCGTCCGCCCATGCCATGTCCCATCGTGCTGCTCGCAGGGTTCTCACTCCCGCCCAAGTGCCCAAGTCGATCAAATGCGAGTTCGGTGAGTCTCTCGGGTGGAGTGTTGACTCGTGAGCCCTGCATGTGGCAAAGCTCCGACCCACAAAGCACTCTCACTCATTCCCTGAAAACTCTTCCCCCACATCAAAGTACGCAACGAATCGAGCCCTGGTCTTCTCGTCTCCATGCACCTGTCCCTGCCGACGCAGCCACTTGAAATGAGGGTGTTTTTGAGACGTCTCACAAGTACGCAAAGAACCGAGCCCCCATGTTTCCGTGTCCATGCACCCGCCCCTGCAAACGCAACCCCCCCCCCCCCCCCCCCCCCCCCCCCCCCCCCCCCCTTCCTCTGCACGCTAAATCTGCAATGGCTTTTTCACAGGCTGCGACGCTAACTGCGGGAAGGTTGCGGTGTGCCTTAAGAGGAACGGCAAGCCCCAGTGCGTGTGCCCTGGGGACGGCGTCTACAATGCCGCTGACAAGTCATGCAAAGGTGGGCGTTGGTGAGACGTTCTCATCATGTCACGTGTGTTTCATGTTACGATTGTTCATCTCACCCATGTTTCATGTCACTCTGGTTCATGTCACTCTAGTTCATGTCACTCTGGTTCTTGTCACTCTGGTTCATGCACATTGGTTGAACTAGCTCTCTCCCATCCATCAACACTCTCCATCCACATTCATCATCATTTCCACCGCTTGTTTTGCTCCTCTCGTTCCTCCCCTGATGCATTTCCACGTTGTTCATCTGCCCTTCCTCTGTGCAGCAGCGGCAACAAAGGGGCTGATGGGATAGGCACGACAGCAATGCCATCCTCGATTCCAGCTTGTCAAACATATATGCTGCTTATTGTGTAGGCTGTAGTGGGGTAGCCCATATGTACAACCCAAATTAAGGTTTTATACTTGTACCCATCCTGCTGCTAGTTCATTCATTCCTGCTTGCTATCTTGACATGGTTTCAGAGCAGTAGGTCCATAGGACCGTTTTTTTTTCCGGGCCCACCATACTTAGCGACCGACTGCGGTTACTGCGTTACCCCACTACCCTGCGCTAGCGCCAGCGCCCTGCCCTGCGCCAGCGCCCTGCCCTGCGCCAGCGCCCTGCCCTGCGCCAGCGCCCTGCCCTGCGCCAGCGCCCTGCCCTGCGCCAGCGCCCTGCCCTGCGCCAGCGCCCTGCCCTGCGCCAGCGCCCTGCCCTGCGCCAGCGCCCTGCCCTGCGCCAGCGCCCTGCCCTGCGCCAGCGCCCTGCCCTGCGCCAGCGCCCTGCCCTGCGCCAGCGCCCTGCCCTACGCTCGCGCTGCTGCCCTGCGCGTCGCGCCCTACGGCAGCCCGCTCGTCGCGCACAGCTGCCCCGCGCGTCGCGCCCTTCCCACGCGTCGCGCACAGCTGCCTTCCGCGTCGCGCCCTGCTGCAGCTCGTGCGTCACGCCCTGCTGCCCTGCACAGCGCGCGCCCTGCTGCCTGCGCAGCCCCGGCCGAGCCGAGCCGCCCTACTCGAACCGACCCGCCCTGCTGCTCGTGCTACTGCTGCTGCTGGTGGAGGTGCTACTAGGAGTGCTGGAGGTGCTACAGCCTAGCCTCACCGGGCGTCTCTGCTCCTCTTACTGCTGCTGCTGCTGCTCGTGCTACTGTCTTCCCTCCGTACCTACCTCCTAGTCGCGCGCCTCGTTGCTTACCCGCTATGACTTCACTTCGTCGTAGCAGTGGGAGTGGTGACGGCGGTAGTGGCAGCAGTGGGAGTGGTGGCGGCCGTAGTAGCAGTCGCTGTGGAGCTGTTCAGTGGGGAGGTTCTGGCGGTGGCCAGATGCAGCTACAGCGGCGTCCGACCCTTACGTCCCGGCAGCTTCGTGAGTGGCTGTGCCAGCGTGGGACGTCTCCGAGTCCTGGTCGCTGCTCGTACGTCATTCGCACAGGTCGTCGAGCTGGTCAGACCTGTGGGACACCTGGTCACGCACAGTCCCGCTGCTTCGCCTATTTGTCTGACGCCTGGCACGCACAGTTTGGCGACGAGGCTGAGACACCCCACTGGCTTGAGCTGCTTAGGTCGGGCGTTGATGTCTTTGCTTTAGACTATGACGCCATCCTTACTGCCATGTCTCCTTTGCCTGGTGATGCTGAGAGTGAATATTACCTGTGTGTGCAGTACGACCCCGGTATAGAGGTTGCTGCTCTAGGTGCTAGTGAGGCTGCTGCCTTAGGTGCTAGTGAGTCTGCTCCCTCAGGTACTGCGCCTGTTGAGGTTTTGCTCACACCACTCCCTGCACCTGTTGCAGTGTCTCTGGCTGACCCCTCAGGGGGCCCAGTCCTTGCACGGTCCACCACTGTGCTTCCGTGCCCGGCGGCTCCGTCTGGCTCACTGTCAGGTCTCCACATGCCCTCGTTCTCTACGAACTTGGTGAGCAACGCTGCCCTTCAGGATGTGGGGGTTAATACCTTCACCCCTGCATGGCAGCGTGTGGCGATCTGCACGTGTGCACAGACTGGCCGTCACCTGGCCACGTTCACCCGTCGGCCGGGGTCGAGTCTCTACACACTGACGACTGTGTCTCCTCAGGTCGCTGCTGTCGGTCAGGTGTCTGCGTCAGGTCTGGTAGCCTCCCCTTGTGAGTGTCGCTCCTTGTCGCACCAGACTCTTCTCTGGCACCATCGTCTGGGTCACCCCTCCTTGCCACGTCTACGTGGCATGCACCGTCGCCTCCTTGTGTCTGGTCTTCCCAGGTCTCTCCCTCCCCTCCCTGCCTCGCCTGCGCCGCCCTGCCTTCCTTGCGTCGAGGGGCGGCAGCGCGCCGCTCCTCACTCCTCCTCGTTTCCCCCGACAGAGGCTCCCCTGCAGACCCTCCACCTGGACGTGTGGGGCCCAGCCCGCGTTCGTGGACAGGGCGGTGAGCGGTACTTTCTGCTGGTTGTCGACGACTACTCGCGTTACACCACGGTCTTCCCCTTGCGCACCAAGGGTGAGGTCCCTGCTGTCTTGATCCCTTGGATCCGCGTAGTTCGTCTCCAGCTCCGCCGGAGGTTCCGGACTTACCTTCCTGTCCTGCGTCTGCACTCTGACAGAGGTGGTGAGTTCACCTCCAACCTCTTGCGGACCTTCTGTCAGAGGGAGGGCATCGAGCAGTCGTTCACGCTTCCGGGCTCACCACAGCAAAATGGGATTGCTGAGCGCCGCATTGGCTTGGTCATGGAGATCGCTCGTACCTCCTTGATCCATGCGGCGGCTCCCCATTTTTTGTGGCCGTTTGCGGTCCGGTACGCAGCGCATCAGCTCAACCTCTGGCCCCGTGTCTCCTTGCCAGACACCTCGCCCACACTGCGTTGGACGGGAGAGGTTGGCGATGCGTCGCGTTTCCGAGTCTGGGGTGCTCGTGCCCTTGTCCGCAATACGTCCGCGGACAAGCTCTCCTCCCGCACCATTCCCTGTGTCTTTCTTGGCTTTGTCCCTGACGCGTCTGGCTGGCAGTTTTACCACCCCACCTCGCGCCGCGTCTTCCCCTCCCAGGACGTCACCTTTGACGAGTCGGTTCCTTTCTACCGTCTCTTCCCCTACCGCACTGCCCCTCTCCCTCCCCCGCCGCTTTTCCTCGCTCCAGGTCCCCCTCCGGTAGACCCCCTCCCCCCTCAGGGTCCTGCTCCTTCAGGTGTGTCTCAGGTAGACCCACTCCCCTTGGCTGAGCCTTTGGAGGTCACTTCCGACACCTCTGGCCCAGCTGAGGGGGGTGACGTTGCTGCTGACGCCCCGGCGGCCTACCGCCGCACACCACGCTTGGAGACCCCTCCGGGTTTCCCGCCGCGACCTTCTTCGCCGCCTCTGCAGCCGACTACTGTTGACTCTGGTGCTGCTGGGGGTGGTGCTACTTGGGGTGCTGCGTCTGGGGGTGCTGCGTCTGGGGGTACTGAGCGTGTGCGTGAGGTGCTGGGAGGTGTGGAGCCTGGGGGTGCTGAGCCTACGAGTGCGGAGCCTGAGGGTGCTGAGCTGGAGGGTGCCGGGTCGGGGGGTGCTAAGTCAGCTAGAGTTCCTACGGGTCGTGCTGCTGGGGCTGGAGGTCCTGCTGCTGGGGGTGCTGCTGCCGGAGGTCCTGGGGTTGGAGGCCCTAGAGCTAGCGCTGTCGACCCCGGAGTTGGAGGCCCCGTTGTGCCCCCCGCGGCTCACCACGCTTGGCGACCCCTCCGGGTTTTCCACCTCGACCGTCTTCGTCGCCTCTGCGGCCGGTTCCGGTTGCCTCTGGTGCTGCTGGGGGCGGTGTTGCTTAGGGTCCTGCGTTTGGGGTTGCGGAGCCTGGGGGTGCTGAGCCAGATGGTGCCGGGACCGGGGGTGCTGAGTCGGCTGGTGTTCCTCTGGGTCTCCCTCTTTCTGCTGCTCGAGCTGCTGGAGCGAGTGGTCGTGGAGACGCTGGGAGCACTGGTGTTTCTGGTTCTGGACGTGCTCGTACCGGGGGTACTGGAGCTGCCAGGACTGGCGTTTCTGTTGGAGCTGGAGGTGCTTGTTCTGGGGGTGCTGCGTCTCCTGGCGGTCCTCCTGGTGTTGCGTCGCAGCGGCCACCTCTCTCGCGACAGCAGCTACGCGAGTGGTGCGCTCAGCGCTACCGTCGTCGAGGTGCTGCGACTTGGGGTACTGGGGCTGGACGCCCATGAGCTGGTACTGTCGCCTCTGGAGTTGGAGACCCTGGAGCTGGAGGTGCCGGTTCTGGAGGTGCTGCTGCTGGAGGTACTGAGGCTGGAGACCCTGGAGCTGGAGGTGCCGGTTCTGGGGGTGCTGCGACTGGAGGTACTGAGGCGGGAGACCCTGGAGCTCGAGGTTCTGGCGCAGCTGGCGACGCTGGAGCTGGAGGTTCTGCAGCTGCTGGAGGCGCTGGAGCTGCCTTCGCGAGGATTTTTGTCGTCCATGGGGGCGTCGACAGAACAGTAAGGGAGAGGTCCGGCTTCTTCCGAGGCTCTGTCCACGTTCTGCTCGCCCCAGTCAGGTTCATCTGCTGCCGAGGCGAAGGCTCGGTCGCCAAGAAAACCGTCGGTGAGGTCTGGGTTTCCTTCTTCCAGGTTGGCAAGGTATGTCGGGAGCGTGAGTCGCTCGTAGAAAATGACATCACGTGCTGCTACTGTTTCCTTTGTGTTGATGTCGAAAATCTTCCATGCGTTGTAATGTTTCTCGATGCCCAGGTGTAGTCCCCATTGTGCGCGTTGGGAGAATCTGCCTGCTCGTGCAGCTGGGGGTCGGTACTGTATAATGCAGCCGAAAACTCTCAACATTTTTGTGCTGCTCAGTTTTCCTGTCCACAGCAAGTGCGGCGATGCGTTGTTCAGGAGTGATGATGACGAGAGTAAGTTGTGCAGCATGACAGTGTGGTCCATTGCTTCGGGCCACTGGTGGTTGGGTAGCCGCATGCCACGTAGCAGCTTGCGCATGGTGTTCTGGAGAGTCATGTTCATCCTTTCTGCCACGCCTTGTTGTTGATGGGCATAGGGAAGGGAGATGAGGCGTTTGATGCCTAGTTCTG